TATATATATATATATATACATGCACACACGCATATGCACACACACTAGATACATGTTTTTTTTATTAGAAAATCCACCATATTACCTCTCTGGAAACACTATCATAAGCTTTTACTAGATCAATGAAAACTATATATAGATCCTTTCTCTCCTCTCTGTATCTTTGAATCAACTATCTCAGTATATGAATAGATTCTATAATTGACCTTCGAGTATTGAATCAAATTATTTCTCAGATACACTTATCTCCTTTCTTAGTCTTTGCTTAACTACCTTCTCCCAAAGTTTTGTAGTATGACTCATGAGATTGTTGTAACGATAGTTCGAACCACTTTGTATATCTCCTTTATTATTTTATAACGGTATCGAAGTGCTAATCCTCCACTCATTAAATTATGTTCATGGGATATCTTGTCATCTTATCATTGTTCAGTCATAAATGTTGTGTACTTGTGTTCATTGAAATTAGCTGGAATTCTTTCCAGTATCCCTGCTTATCTAAACTAAATGTATTTCTCCCCATTCCTAAAGTTATACAAAATGAATACAACTTCAATATCGGTTTCTGTAAGACATTTTAACAGTGATTTTGCTGTCTTGAATTGAACTTCTCCAAGCCTTTATCTCTTTTCAGGGTAGCAAAACTTTTCTTCTTAAGGCTGTTGCTGTTATTGGTGCGAGTTTGGATACTGTCTTTGAAGTTGTTTTGAGCTTAGATGCACAGAAGAGACACGAGTGAGTTGAATGAACTATTCTTATACTTTAGTTATACTTGATGTCTCTCTAAGTATGATTTTGCAGGTGGGATGCTTTGACAGGTGAACTGGAACTGCTGGAATCAGTAGATGGCCATTATGATGTTGTTTATGGGACATATGAACCGAAGAATCTGACTTGGTATATGTTCTATATCTTATTTTTTTATATCTCTTTAACATTATCCAGTCATAACTCATAGTTTCATCGTATAGATCAACATAAATATCATTTTGCATACCTGCATCACATTTTGAAGTGTACATACCATTCACTGCTGTACAAGCATCTCTCTGTTTGACAATGTCAAACAAATAACTATCTGGCGACTGGTGGTGAGCACCCAAGAGCAGGCCTGGCCCTACCCTTAGGCAGTCAAGGCCTCTGCCTTGGGCCTCATCCTTGGTTGGACCCACCCACTTAATTTCTCTTAGTTATCATTTTTCTATAAGACTAAATTTTAACGTCATATGAAGTTGAAAAGACTTTTTGTTCATATCCCTTAATTAAATAAGAGGTTCTCACCCACTTTCCTTCTTTAAATAAACTGAACGGACTCCCTTTCTCTCATCTTTTTTTTATGGAAGCGAAGCCCTTTCTCTCTCATTCTCAAGCAGTCAAGCTTCCATCAAACGTCAACCTCAACGGCTCAACCCTACCCTGATCGGCTGATCCCCACCTCTCGTCAATCTCTCTCTCTTCTTCTCTCTCTATCTCGAGATCGCTGCAGCCCGTCAGCCGTTGCTGACAACCTCTCCAAACCAATCGCAGTTAGCCCGTTATCGCTCACGGCTCACCTCCTGCGCTTTGTCTCGTCGTCGAAAAAAGACGGCGTCCCGACCTGAGTTATTTTCCCAAAGAAAACTCTGGTTCTATCTTTCTAACTAAAGCTATTTAATTTTCTTTATTATTCATATTAATTTTATGTTTAATTAGAGATATTGTAGATATACGTTGAAAGCTTTTTATTTGCTATTTTATATTTTGAAAGCATGGCTAATAAAAAATATGAAAGTGGTAGTAAAAAATTAAAAAAATTAAAAAGAGTTGAAAAATTAATTCGATCTCAACAAGGAGCTCTTGATAAATTTGTTTTTAGTAATAAAGATAATGTTATGTCAACTTCAACAGAAGAAGAAAGAATAGATGAATCTTTACTTGAGAATGAATTAGAGGAATATGTTGAGAATTTAGGACAAAATAATGATATTAACGATCATAATATTCAAGAAGAAAAAGCTAGTACTCCTAATTTTAATGAAGAATATAACGAAAATTCACATGAGGGCCAAGAAAAAAATTTAGAGATGAATGAGATATAAAATTCAATTCTTATCAATATTTATGATCCTAGATAATGGAAATGTATTAATCAAAATTTTGTAGATCTAATAGTTGAAAAAGGTCCTATTAAATATGAAGTAGATTTTCCTAAAGATGAAAATAACAGACACTTTTCTACATCAAATTACATACAAAAATTGTCAAATGGAGAAAAACATGAAAGAAGGTGGTTAGGTTACTCAAAAGATTTAGATAGAATTTATTATTTTTATTGCAAATTATTTAGTTTAAAATCTAGTATATAAGTCAGTTAGTTAACGAACGTACTAGAGATTGGAAAAATCTTGGATATAAAATTAAAAATCATGAAACAAGTCATGAACATATCCCTAATATGTGTAAATGGGTGGATTTAGAAGTAAGATTACAAAAAAATAAGACAATAGATAAAAACATTCAAGAACAAATTAATAAAGAAAAAGAACACTGGAAAAAAGTTTTGCTAAGACTTATTGCTATAGTAAAACATCTATCAAAAAAATAATCTTGCATTTCGAGGAACAAAAGAAAATATATATGAAAAAAATAATCGAAACTTTTTAAGCTTAGTTGAAATGATAGCGGAATTTGATCCCATAATGCAAGAAAATGTTAAACGTATTCAAAAAGATGAAATTCAAAATTATTATCTTAGTCATAAAATGCAAAATGAACTAATAGAGTTGCTAGCTTTTGAAATTTAAAAAATGATCATTAAAAAATAAAAGAAACAAAATATTTTTCAGTTATACTTGATTGTACTCCAGATGCAAGTCATCAAAAACAAACGACTCTTATTTTAAGATGTGTTGATACTTCAACAAGTCCAATAAAGATTAAAGAATACTTTTTAGAGTTTTTAAAAGTAAATAATACTTCGGGAAAAAGACCGTTTTGATGAACTTTTAAATATTTTGAAAAAATATGAACTTGATGTTAAAGAAATAAGAGGGCAAGGTTATTTTTGATGAACTTTTAAATATTTTGAAAAAATATGAACTTGATGTTAAAGAAATAAGAGGGCAAGGTTATGATAATGGATCTAATATGTAAAGAAATAAGAGGGCAAGGTTATGATAATGGATCTAATATGAAAGGAAAACACAATGGAGTACAAAAAAAGCTATTAGATATAAATCCTAGAGCATTCTACACACCATGTGGTTATCATAATTTAAATTTAGTCTTATATGATATAGCTAATTCATGTCCTAGAGCTATTTCTTTTTTTGGAGTGTTGCAACGTATATACTCATTGTTTGCTTCCTCTACTAAACGATGGAAAATTTTAGGAGATAATGGATGCAAGTTATCCATTAAATCTTTATCTCAAACTAGATGGGAAAGTCGGATTGAAAGTGTTAAAAGCAATAAAATTTCAAGCTTCAAATATAAGAGATGCTTTGATTCAATTAGCAGAAATTAGTGAAGATCGAAAGATAAAAAGTGAAGCTAATAGCTTTGCAACTTATGAGATTGAAAATTGTGAATTCTTATTAGCTATGAATATTTGGTATGACATAGTGTTTGTTGTTAATTCAGTTAGTAAAATCTTACAATCTAAAGATATACATATTGATATTACCATAGATCAATTAAAGGGTCTTATTGTATATTTAAAAAATTATAGACAAAATGGTTTTATGTTTGCTTTGAATTCAACTAAAGAACTTGCTAATGAAATGAACGTACAACGTATATTTTGTGAAAAACATAAAGTTCATAGAAAAAAAAAAATAATTTCATAAAAATATTGGTAATGAATCAATATTTAACACTGAAGAATCTTTTCATATTGAATATTTCTTATACATAGTTGATAAATCGCTTAGCTCAATTGAAAATAGGTTTGAACAATTTAAAACGTATGATTTTTTTTGTTTTTTGTTTGATTTGAAAAATTTAAAGCTTTAGATGATATTGAATTGAAAGAATATTGTCCGAAAATGCACTAAAACATGATGAACATTTAGATATTAATGGACTTGATTTGTTTTCAGAATTGAGAGTGCTTAGGGAAAATTTAAAAGTAGAGATTAATAGTCTAATTGAAGCGTTGAACTATATAAAGTGGTTAGATTCTTTTTCAAATACTTATATTGCTTATCGTGTATTATTGACTATACCCGTAACAGTTGCTTCCGCTGAAAGAAGTTTTTTAAAATTAAAATTACTAAAATCTTATTTAAGATCTACCATGTTACAAGATAGATTGAATGATTTAGCAATATTATCTATCAAAAATAATATGTTAGAAAATATTGAATATAAAACTTTAATTAGTAATTCTGCAGCTTAAAAGATAAAAAAATGAGATAAAATCTATTATGAGTTGTATCACTTAGGCCTCATCTAATATTTCGCATTGGGCCCCAAAATTCCTAGGTACGGCCTTACCTAAGAGTATGAATATCCGTGTACTCCATAAGGATTCCTTTGCTGGATTGTGAGCATTTCTTGGGGTGGTTGTATATTTGTACTGTGAAGAAAGATTGGATGCAAAAGCTGGTCATGGAAATGAAAAAAAGAGAAGCTGAGACAAGTGTTCATAGTGTTGAAGGGAAGTGAGTCATGCACTCTGAATCTCCTCTCCGGAATAATTTTCTAGTGTATCTAGTTTAGTATGTTGATTCAAGCTCAACAAGTACATGTTTCACAGCAGATGCTTCCATCTAAAGACAAAATATAATATGTGAAATGGCCAAATGAGAAGGAGCCAGTCGATGATTTTGAAGCATGAAAGAGGATTCTTATATCTAAAAAGAGTCAAAGAAGGTAAGTTGAGGGGGTTATAGTTGGATCTTTAACAAGAAAAAATGGAAATGGAAGAGAGAACACGCTGCTTGTGTTACTGTAAAAGTAAAACCAGATTATCAAAGAACATATTACTTGAGTTAGAACTGAAACGAAGACGGGCTCTCATGTGTGCTGATTATTAAAAAGAAGTTGATGCATGACACAATCAGTATTCAGATTTGATCCGGATTGAAGATAAATTTGTGTGATTTTAGATTTGATTTTGGTTTTAGATAGGTGAGAATTAGTTATTTTGTTTAGTTGTTTTGATATGAATTGTGTTAGGATTGAGTTTATTGGATTATTTTCTAGTTAAGGTTAAATTGGTTTTAGAGATAGGATAATTTTTTGAATTTGTTTTAGATAAGAATTTCAAAATCTATAAAAGAGGGAGGAGATTTCTGTAATGGAGGAGAGAGCTTATGAATAATTTATGAAAGTTGAGTTAAAGAACATATTGTGTGATTTTTTCTAAAGGCGAAAGTTATTGTTTCCTGGTGTGAAGCTGAAAGGGTTAAGTGTCAGCGTGTGAATCCGACTTAACTAATGGTTAGATGTCTGTGAGTGAATCCGATCTAACCTCATATTATCTTACTTTGTTCGTCTTTTATTTTATAAAAAAAGAAAAAAAAGAAAAGGTATTGTTTATGAATACTGTTCACCCGAGTATTCAGACGCTTCTCCGTTCCACATCCATTGGTATTGAAGCAAGTTCATGTGATCCGCAATTATTATGGGTAAATATTCGCTTCCTCCTTGGCAACAATATGATTTCAATCCATTAAAGTTTGGTCCTTTATCCTATTTTTGTGGTTTTGATGGATATGAGGAGCCATATGATTTTGGAGTCTGGATTTAAGATATGGAGGATATATTTGTTATATATGAAATATATGAAATACAAAATTGTTCAGGTTATCCTTCAATTATCTATTCGTGGGAGTCTATGAAATTTCTTCTTAAAAGGAGATATTCTTCTCAATCAACTAGAAGATATTTTTGTTTTCTGTATAGATTTGGCC